AAAAGCATTAGTAATATAATAATAATTTTATATAAAAAAGTAAAATAAAATTCTCGACAATAAAATTTTAGAAAATGATTTTATAATATAAATCTGGAAAAAATGAATAATGATAATTTTATTTAAAAAATTTAGAATTTAACTAAATTATAACGATAATAATTCACAAACAATTAATGATTCATTTTCTCCTTCTTTATGTTTAAAAATATGTAAATATTTTATATTTCTTACTGTTTTTTAAAGAAATTTTTATTAAAAAATCTTTAGAAAGAGGAATTTACGAAACGAGAAAGAATTTCTCGCAGTTGTAATTAATTTAACTGAATAAAAATAAAAAGAAATTACTTAAGTTCATTTGTACATAATTTTTTTCACATTGAAAATAAATAAATTTAANAAATCAATTAAAATATAATTTTTACAAAAGTACTTTCCAACCTTTTTCAGCCTTTAAGCCCAAGTATACAATCTGATATTTCTTTGAGGGTGGCGAACTACCAGTTGAATAGTAATTTATTATAAAGACATGGTCACTATTATCAATATCAGCTTTTTATTGATTTTGTGTTTGAAGTAATTAATTTACACTTGAATCAATATCAAGTGAAATTTAGTAAAATAAAGCTTTTAAAATACAATTATTCACCAGTGACAAGTTCAATTAATCTGAACTTGCTATTTTCGGGACAGACAACGAGACAGCGCAAAAAATAAGTATAAAAATACAATTCTACTCTTATCACATTTCAATTTTTTTACAGACAAACAAACAGACGAACAAATTTTAAGATAAAATCTCAACTTTTTAAAGTTTCTAAAAAAATTTTAAATGTAAACTATATTACCAAATATAAAACAATGCATATATATATAATTGTCTGTCTTTTGTCCATCCGAAACTTTAAAATATTTATTTCATTAATGAATATTTTAAAATATCTCAAATATATATATCAACTCAAAAATACAATTCTGGAACAATTTCCAATGTAAAAATATGGTAATAAAATTGTTTATTTTTATATTTTTATACATATTATATCAATTTATTATATTATAATAGCTTTATTTTCAATGATACCATGTTTTGTATCAATAGTTACGGCCATTCCGAATAAACTTAATGTATAGATTTAGGTAGCAATTTATTCTTCAGGATATAAATGCAAGAATTTTTTTAAAAATATTCAAAAAAGTATAAAAAAACCACCTGCACCGAACGAGCCATCACTCTAAAAAAACATATAATTTACTTACTTTTCAAATGATCTTTACACTATAACCATATTTAAGTGTATTAAATCGCAAGATATTCTCTGAAATTCTTTTGAATAATATAAAAAAGGAATTAAATATTTAAATTTTATTAAAATTCTCGTCAAATTTTACATAATTAATTTATTTATTTCGAATTTCTGTTGCACATTTTTCAATATTTTGCTATAGGAAAACGTTACTTCCTATAAGGGTAATTATTATTATAATAACATAACGATTGTTACTATAGCAACATGTCTGTTCGAGGTTAATAAAAAAAAAATAAATGTATTTATAGAAATGTAATTTAATTACCTTCATAAATGACAGAAAATGCGATGAGCAAATCATATTCTCCGTTTAAACAATAAACAGGAAATTAGTTATTTAAACGTTTAATAATTTATTTATAAATTTATATATAATTTTATTTATTTTTTAAAAAATCTATAAATTTACTTAAATTTTTCCTATATTATGTATTAAATATATCGGGAATTTAATGTATTAAACGTGGTTTAATATATCAATACCTTCAGCGCGTAGAACGTATCGAGTTAGTTCTAAGTTTAGACGTGATCAATTATTAAAAGTTGATAAATTAGAGTTAATTAATCAAAGTTATAAAATGTAGTTTTTCGAATATTATTTTTACAAACGATCAAAAAACAATTTAGGAAGTGATTTTGCGTGATTTTTAACAATTAAACTCACTTAATTTGTTATTTTAGTTACTAGTTTATACATCCAAATAATTGTATTCTTGCCAATTGGAACATGGGGCATTTACCTTTAAATGTGTTGAGTTAAATAATAGATTTTTTTAGAATTGATATTTTTATAAAACATCGCCCCATTTTGGGTGACTTTTTTAAATATTTAAACTCATAAAATATAGCAAATAACATTGCTTTTAAATGTAAAATTGTTTAGTGTGGAGCGTAGTATCGATGATAATGATGATTACAATAATGATAATGGTAAGGGACAAAAAAATAAGTTTATTTGAATATAAAAAGACGTTTATTTAGTAAAATTTTTATATATAAATTTGAATATAAATGTTTTTTGTTCAGTTAGAAAAACGGCGAAATATTTATAACGATGATAAGGATGATGAAAGGTAAAAGATAAATCATAAAGTTAGAAGAACGTGAAAGTATGTCGATGATAGTGAGTAAATGATGATGATGGTGATGATAAAAGGTTAAAAAATATATATATATTTGAATTTAAAAAGGCATCTGTAATATTTTCAAGCAAAATTGTGCATAATTTATGCCTAAATTTACTTTAATACACGCAAAACTTTGGTTTATAGTTAAAAAAAATCTCTTTTCAAGAACACGTTACCTTGAATTATATCAAAAAATGTCTTGTTCTTTTTTTGTATTTTGTATAAGATCATATACAGTTGGTAATAAAAAATTGCATCATCTACCACTTTCTTTTACGATCTCTCATAAGAAAAGTAGATATTTTTATTTTTGAATTGCCTATATTTCTTTCCGCATTGCAGTTTATGAAGTTCCTACGAAGGAAGAAAGTAGGAAAGGAAGAAACATTTTTCAAAAAACAATAAAATATTAGCGACAGTTTGACAAAAATAAAAAGTAATTTCGTTTATATTCTTAATAAAATGCAGTGTACAAAGCTAGAAAATATGATTTCCAACGTTATAAAGTGTCATAGTTTCAGATGAAACAAATTATTTTTAGAGTTTTATTTTAGAAATGATGATCTAGAAACACAAATCCGATCAATTCTAGAACAGAAAACATTATTTTAGATTTAAAATTTGCTGGTTTTAAAAAAAAGTAAAACAGTAAATTCTTTTTTTCCCGAAGAAAATGTCTTAACAATTCGACTTTCTGGATTTTATGGCATTCACTTTAATTGTAATTATAAAGAAAATTCGATTAACTTGTTAAATTTTTATGTAAATCAGTTGACAGAAAATGTATTTTATGTTAAAAAAGTAATTTATTTTTGTCTTTTTTAAAAATTTTCTCATGATTCGTCACATAATTAAAGCCATTTACGTTCCAGGACATAACAAACTTTTAATTAGATGATAAGAATGCTATATATTAGTTAATTACTAACTTTATAGGTTTTCACCTTATCTTTAAAAGATAATGCCTAAGAATTATTTCAATAAATTAACGTAGAAAAGTATTTACAACTCGAATTTTTTAGTAAAAACTCCACCAACCTGTCGCTCGCGAGCCCCAAAGAAGCTCAAGATTAGAAAGTGACAGCTTGAAAACTATTTTTTTAAATTAGTTATATGATTATAATATTCGATTCACGTATTAACAACCAGTTGAATAGTAATTTATTATAAAGACATGGTCACTATTATCAATATCAGCTTTTTATTGATTTTGTGTTTGAAGTAATTAATTTACACTTGAATCAATATCAAGTGAAATTTAGTAAAATAAAGCTTTTAAAATACAATTATTCACCAGTGACAAGTTCAATTAATCTGAACTTGCTATTTTCGGGACAGACAACGAGACAGCGCAAAAAATAAGTATAAAAATACAATTCTACTCTTATCACATTTCAATTTTTTTACAGACAAACAAACAGACGAACAAATTTTAAGATAAAATCTCAACTTTTTAAAGTTTCTAAAAAAATTTTAAANATCGAATTACTTCTTGTCAGATTTTTGGATATTGCACGAAGGAATAAGAAAAAATACTTTAACGTGATCTACTTTCTAGAGCAGTAGTAAAATTACAGTAGTCATATTTAAATAAATAAAACCTGCAACCACATTTTATGTGTTTTTCTTATTTTTATTTATTTTCTTTTATAAAATTATACTTATAGTTTAATTATAATAAATAACTTATATATATTTATAAAAACACACATTAAATTTTAATATATAAATAACGGTGTAATATTAAGCAAAATTACAGTAGTCATATTTAAATTTAAAAAAAAACACATGACTACATTTTATACATATTTAAAAAAATTTTTTTATAAAATTCTACTTATATTTTAATTGTGATAAATAATTTATAAACATTTCTATCAAAATAAATTATATTTCGTTTTTAAATACGTAAGTAATGACGTAATTATTGAGTAAAATATACAAATGACGTAACTATTGTGCAAAAATGTAAAGAAATTAACCAGATTTTAAGAGAAAAAATGTTATTTATAATAATTACGTAAGAAAACTAAACTATACTTTAATTAAAATAAACAAAATTTATTAAAACTTATCAAGAATTTTATTAATTTTAATAGATATTCACTAATTTAAATAATGAAAAATGAAGTCATTCTCAAGGATATCGAATTATTTAAATTATTCCTGAATTTTTTATATTAATTTCTAGCTATTAAAAATTTAAATTACCGCTAAACATAATTTTTAATATCTAAAAATCTTAATTTAAAAAAACTTGTTTAAAAATATTATAAAAAATTAATTTACAACTTACCTGAATCACTAACACTGAGAATTTATATATATTAATATATATATACAACATAAAATATATAAAATAGCATATATTCACCGCATAAGCACACACTAAAGCACCTTATATTTGTTAGAATTTTATAAATTTTTATAAATATATAAGCAAAAATTACACACGGAAGTAAGGAATAAAATAAAGGAAAGCATATACACATGAAGCGATATATATGCCACAATATTTTCTTTTTTTCGTTTAAATAATATAAAAATAACGTTCATCACTTACTGATACGAACGATAAAAGACAGTATAGTTGACAGAGTCCATCCATACATGCGCAATACAGGGACTTGAGACAAACATGTAATGCTAAACACGATATATCAGTCTACTCACGTTGACAGACGTTTGAATCTTTGAGACATGGACACAGACTTTCAACACTATCGACCAAGCAGGTGTGTGTGTGTGTGGAGTGAGTATGTGTCTTTGCTGTGTTAGATACAGGTTGAGTCACTTACTAAACCTGTCGCTCCAATATCTGTTCCTTCGTTGGCTGATTTTCTAGTCACGTGTCAGCTTAATAGATGAATGGGGTGAACTCAACACTGCGCAATGATACCGGTATGTAGACACAGCTATAGGAACAATTATATCTTTTAAAAAAGAATTTTTTAAAATTTAAATTTATATTTAATTATTTTTATATTTATTTTTAATATTTTTTGTCTACATTTAATACAAATATATATTTATTTATTTATTTTAACCTAGAAACATTTCGAACAAGCAATTTCCGTTAAAAAAATAAATAAAAAATGTTTTAGTTTTTTTATATTTTTTTCTAAAAAAACACAGAAAAACATTTTAATATTGTTATTATTTTCGTCAAAATAAAACGAAAATGTGTCAGCTTATTTTAAGAATATAATAAAAATGAAATATGTTTGATAAGCAAAATGTTATTTATACTTATCAAAACACGTTTAAATTAATTAATATAATAATCGTGTAGATCAGCATAATTGTTAATTAGGTAAACAAGATTACAATAGATAATTATAATGAACAAGGTGGAAGACCAAAAACTGCTTGTTCAATTTGTAGTGTATCGAAGCTATCTAAGTGTACTGTACAATTAATGATTAAATGCCAACTAAACATAATTTGTATCTATCCATATTTATTTATTTACAGTGGCGTAGCCAGGAATTAAATGTGGTAGGAACTGACAAGTAAACTTAAATTACACCACCCATAAATGTTCTTACATCAGCAGCAATATCCAGGGGGCTGACAAGTAAACTTATATTATACTAGTCTATATATATTTTTATAGCATGAGTAGATTCAAGGATGGCCATGAAGGCAATTTCCCTGAGATTTTATTCCATGATCCACCATCGTCTTTAACGCAAACATTTTTAAAAAATTTATATTAAATTAATTAACTATTGAAATAATATTTTTCTTCATAAGAAGTTTAATTCCTATGAACTTTAAACATTAATTTATTTTTCATTAAAATTATTTTTGGGAGTTATAAGCCTTTTACTCCCTGACTACGCTAATACTTAATAATTAATTTACTTTAATTGATTTTTATTAAATAAATTTATCTTAATAGATAATAAAAATAAATATTTTTAAATATGAAAAATGTTTATTTTCTTAATATAAATAAAAAATTTCGAAATATTTTTGTACTAAAATTGATTTCTGAATCTAAAAAACAGATAAACAATATTAAAAATTTTTCTTCTTTTTCTTTAGTGATTTCATGTAAGAAATTTCATTCAATTTCTTCCTATTCATCTTTATTNATGTGTCAGCTTATTTTAAGAATATAATAAAAATGAAATATGTTTGATAAGCAAAATGTTATTTATACTTATCAAAACACGTTTAAATTAATTAATATAATAATCGTGTAGATCAGCATAATTGTTAATTAGGTAAACAAGATTACAATAGATAATTATAATGAACAAGGTGGAAGACCAAAAACTGCTTGTTCAATTTGTAGTGTATCGAAGCTATCTAAGTGTACTGTACAATTAATGATTAAATGCCAACTAAACATAATTTGTATCTATCCATATTTATTTATTTACAGTGGCGTAGCCAGGAATTAAATGTGGTAGGAACTGACAAGTAAACTTAAATTACACCACCCATAAATGTTCTTACATCAGCAGCAATATCCAGGGGGCTGACAAGTAAACTTATATTATACTAGTCTATATATATTTTTATAGCATGAGTAGATTCAAGGATGGCCATGAAGGCAATTTCCCTGAGATTTTATTCCATGATCCACCATCGTCTTTAACGCAAACATTTTTAAAAAATTTATATTAAATTAATTAACTATTGAAATAATATTTTTCTTCATAAGAAGTTTAATTCCTATGAACTTTAAACATTAATTTATTTTTCATTAAAATTATTTTTGGGAGTTATAAGCCTTTTACTCCCTGACTACGCTAATACTTAATAATTAATTTACTTTAATTGATTTTTATTAAATAAATTTATCTTAATAGATAATAAAAATAAATATTTTTAAATATGAAAAATGTTTATTTTCTTAATATAAATAAAAAATTTCGAAATATTTTTGTACTAAAATTGATTTCTGAATCTAAAAAACAGATAAACAATATTAAAAATTTTTCTTCTTTTTCTTTAGTGATTTCATGTAAGAAATTTCATTCAATTTCTTCCTATTCATCTTTATTCCTTTTCAATTTGTTCAATCTAACAATCATCAATTCTGTTATGAGAAATTTTTTGAAAAAATTTTGATCGTTTCTCTGTGACATTAACTTTAAAAAATTTTAAAAATATTTTATAAACGTGCTCGAAATTTCAAGTTGAAATATATTTAAGTTTTATGTTTAGCAGTAAACAGCGCTTGATGAACATACTCGTGTATATATATATATATATATGCATGTAAATTAAATGTTTACATGTGTACACACATAAGTATATGTGAACATTTTACAATGCTGGACAGAAAAAGTGAAACATCCAGAAGGTGTCATTGGAAGTTTATTAAATGCACAATAAGAGACCAAACACATGGTAAGTAAATGATGTGTAAAGTAAATTTTTTAAAGTTAGAAATCACCTGCTGGTCCATAGGCTGGAGGATAGGGGTGGTGTTGGGTGGTAGGTAGAGGACCTTAATGAAGTTGAACTCATCAAAGATATCATTTTCAAGACCAAGGGGTGAGCAGGGGCATTGTCAAGGATAAGTAAACATCTCAGAGGCAGGTTGTTTTCCAGCAAATATTTCTTGACAGCTGGACCAAAGACCAGATTTACCCATTCAACAAAAAATGGTCGAGTAACCCAAGCCTTTGAATTTGCCTTCCACATAACTTGGAGTTTCTCCTTTAGTACATTATGGGCCTTAAATGCTCGAGGATTTTCAGAATGCTACACCAACAAAGGCTTGATTTTACAATCCCCACTGACATTAGCACAAAGGGCTAGAGTAAGGCGGTCCTTCATGGTTTTATGGCCTGGCATTTTTCTTTCTTCTGCTGTTATGTATGTCTGGCAGGGCATTTTTTTCCAAGAGAGGGTGGTTTCATCACAATTAAAAACTTGCTGTGGGATGTAACCTTCATTTGCAATCAGTTCTTCAAATTGCTTGCAAAACTCCTCGGCTGCCTTTCTGTCCGAACTCGTTGCCTCACCATGCTGTTTCACCGAATGTATTCCGGTGCGTTTCCAAAATGTTTCGAACCAGCCATGAGAAGCTTTGAAGTCGGTTACCTCAGCCGAGCTTTCACCCCCCTGGTCTTTCAAATCACTGAAAATGGAAGTGGCTTTCTCACAAATTATTGTTTCTGTGATCATATCTCCTGTTATTTCCTTCTCTTTTATCCACAACAATAAAAGCTTCTCCATCTCATCATATCTAGCTGTCCTTTTCTTTGAAATTGTTGTGAGCCCTTTCGAAGGATTCACTGCCTTTATTGCTACCTCCTGCTTGATGATCGTACTGATC